CTTCTTAGTCTGTCTCTGTCAGGAAGCTCAACTGAAACATGTTCACCATGAGTGACCCTGCTAGTGTTTAAAATACCTGTGTTATAACTTCCAGAATCAAAGAAATATGCAAGCCACCACAGTATGACAAACGGACAGATGAGTAGTGGTGACAATAAATAACATCCATATAAATGGAGAGAAGATTGATGTCATCAAGGACTTCATTTTGCTGGGACCTACCATCAACACTCATGGAAGCAGCAGATAAGCAATCAAACGACATATTACATTAGGCAACTATGTTGCAAAAGACTTCTTTAAAGTGTTCAAGATCAAAGTTGTCAGTTTGAAAACTAAGGTGGGTTTGACCCAAGCCGTGGTAACTTTTGTAACTGCATGTGCCCGTAAAAATTGAAGAGTGACTAAGGAAAACCATGAAAGAATTGATGCATTTGAGGGAAATATTAAAATTACCATGGACTGCCCAAAGCACAAACCTTTTGTTGGAAGAAATACAACCAGAATGCTCCTTAGAAGTCAGGATAGCCAGATTGCATCTCTCATACATAGGACATGTTGGGAGGGACCAGTCCCTGGAGAAGAACATCATTCTTGGTGAAGTGGAGGATTAATGAAAAAGCAGAAGACCCCTGATAAATGATGGCTGTGGCAGCCACAATGAGCTCAGGTGTAGCAACGATTGTGATTTTGGCACTGGAGCAGTGCTGTGTTCTGTTGTGCACAGGGTCACTGGGAGTTGGTATCAACTCGACAACACCTTAACAACAACAACCTCTAAAACCAGTGATGACATAATTGAAGAATCTACTAACTTTTTCATCCTAAAATTGATCAATCAAGATTTTTTTGGATAATTATTGCTGATTGGAATGTAAATGTTGTAAACAAAGAGGAAGAGTCAGTAATTAGAAAATATTTCCTTGGTAATATAAATGATGCTGGAGATTGCATGATAGAATTTTGCAAATCCATAACTTATTTATTGCAAATACTTTTTTTCAGCAACATAAGAAGTGATTATGCACATGGACCTAACCTGATGGAATACACAGGAATCAAATTGACTGCATCTACTAACTATGTCACTGTTAACGCTGGGTTAATGCACTGGACTGCAAGGTAAGTTTGAACCACATGGTCGGACCAGTAGCTCCTAGGAAACCCTATACAGGGTCACTATGAGTAGGAACTGGCTTAACAGCAACAACTTAAGTGACTTAACACTTAATAGCAACAACATGGGCGTAGAAGATGGAAAAGCTAATTATCATCAGCCAAAACACGACCAGGTTCTGACTGTGGAACAGAACATCACTGGCTCATATTCGACTTCAAGATGAAACTGAAGAACATTAAAACAAGTTTTGTTGTTGTTGCTGTTATGTGCCACGGAGTCGGTTCTGACTCATAGTGACCCTGTACAGTGTTTCCAAGGCTGTAAATCTTTACGGGAGCAGAACGCCTCATCTTTCTCCTGTGGAATAGCTGGTACTTTTGAACTGCTGACCCTGAGGTTGCAGCCTGATTCGTAACCACTATGCTACCAGAGAGAGGCAAAATGTGACCTTTATTATACCCCACCTGAATTTAGATACCATCTCAGGAACAGGTTTGATGCATTAGATACTAATGACTGAAGACCAGAAGAACTGTGGGATGACATAAAAACATCATACAGAAAGAAAACAAAAGGTTATTAAAAAGACAGGAATGAAATAAAAGACCAAAACTGATTGTAGAAAAGACTCTAAAACTTGCACTTCTGTGTAGAGATGCACAAATGGAAACCATGAAGAAGTTAAAGAGCTGAACATGGCAGCTTACAAAGACAAAGTCAAGTAGTATAAAGAAATGTGCAAAGACCTCAAGCAGAGGTAATGTAATTAAAAATTCAAACCTCAACTTGCGGTAGCAAAACACTGAATGATGCAGAAAGCAGCAGAAGATGGAAGGAATACACAGAGTCACTGTACCAAAAAGAAAAGATCAATGTTCAACTATTTCAAGAGGTAACATGATCAAGTTTGTATGGTAATGAATGAAGAAGTCTAATGAATACTGAAGGCAATGGCAAAAATAAGGCTCCAGAAATTGACAGCATTCAAATTGAAATTTTTCCACAAACTGGTTGCAGCACTAAAGGCACTCACTCATTTATGCTGAGAAATTTTCAAGGGAGCTACCAGGCCGACTATCATATTTGTATCCATTCCAAAGAAAGGTGACCCAACAGACTATGGAAATCATCTAACAATATCATTAATACCATATGCATGTAAATATTTACTAAAGACAATTAAAAAATGGCTATAATAGTATATCAACAAGGAACTGCCATAGTAATTTTTTTTTTAGTTCAATTGAGGGTGAGATCACTACGGTCTCACTCTAATCTGTGAAGGCATTGTGGGTAGGGTATAAAATGGTAGGACAGTGGTAGGACATTAACTACCTGGCACCTTTGGAAAGTGTACCTAACCCAAGCCACTGTATTTTCAATAGCCTCATATGGCATTAGGATTGGAGGAAGACTCATTAACAACCTGCGATATACAGATGATACAACCTTGCTTGCTGAAAGTGAAGAGGACTTAACACATTTACTTATGAAGATCAAAGAGCACAGCCTTCTATATGGATTACATCTCAATCTAAAGAAATCAAAAATCCTCATCACTGGACCAATGAACAACATTCTTATCAATGTAGAAAAGATTGAAGTTGTCAAGGACTTCATTCTACTTGGCTCAACTATCAATACTTGTGGAAGCAGCAGTCAAGAAATCAAATGACGTATTGCATTAGGCAAATCTGCTGCATAAGACCTTTTTAAAGTGTTGAAGAGCAAAGACGTCAGCTTGAGGACAAGGTGGACTCGACCCAAGCCATGGTATTTTGAATAACCTCATATGCATGTGAAAGCTGGACAGTGAATAAGGAAGACCATAGAAGAATTAATGCTTTTGAGTTATGGTGTTGGAGAAGAATATTGAAAGAGCAATGGTCTGCCCAAAGAACCAATAGATCCAGTTTGGAAGAAGTGCAGCCAGAGTGCTCCTTCTCTGGAGACCAAGATGGCCAAATGTCATCTCTCATACTTCAGACGTATTGTCAGGAGTGACCAGTCACTGGAGAAGAATATCATGGTTGATAAGGTGGAAGGTCAGAGAAAAAGAGGAGGACCCCCAATAAAATGGACTGGCTAAGTACCAGCATCGATGGATTCAAGTGTGGCAATAGTAGTGAGGTTGGCCCAGGATTGGGCAGTGTTTCATTCTGCTGTACATAAGGTTGCTATGGTTCGGTACTGACTCAATGGCTCCTAATAACAACATATGAAACCCTGGGAGTGTTGGTGTGGCATTGTAGGATAAGCACTTGACTGCAAATCACAAGTTTGGTAGTTTGAGCTTACCTGTCACTCTGCAGGAGGAAGATGAAATATTCTGCTTCCATAAAGATTTAAAGCCTTGGAAAGCCTATACTGGGGTGCTATGAGTAGGAACTGACCCAACTGGACTTAACAATAACATAGGAATCTGTGTTGGCACAAAAGTTAAGTGCTGGGCCATTTAAAGAAAGATCAGTGCTTCCAACCTACCAGCTGCTCTATGGGAAAGACACGAGGTAATCTGCTTCTGTAAAGATTTGCAGTCTCTGAAACCCTATGGGGGTAGTTCTGCTCTCTTCTGTGGTGTCCCTATATGTTGGATTCTCCTCTGCACCATTGGTTTTTTTGGTATAAAGCTCTTTAATGAAGGTATGAAGAAAGTGTTGCTGGGAATAATATTATCAGAAGAATTTCAACTAGTTTGGTAACAAATAGTTAGTTTGATAGCTCTATTCAAGAACATTCATGATATGTTCAAGGAGTGTCAAGGATGGACACGGTGGCTGAAATGAATACATAGGGGTAGCATAATTCAATACAGTATGGATTTAAAAGATTGTCTCAATTTTATTCACTTAAAATATATAAATGGCACCTATTATTGTGAAGCACTGTTCTAGATAGTTTACAAGTATTATCATATGAAGAGTTAAACTGTTACCGTTAAGTTACATTACAGAGAATATCAAACCCTGTTAGCCAGTAGCTGTCCACTGATAAGGACTTCTAGTTACCCTATGTATGTCAGAGTTGATCTGTGCTCCACAGGAGATTCAGTGGCTGATGCTTTGGAAGTAGATCTCCAGAACTTTCTTCTGAGAACCACCAATCTCTTGGTTAACAATTAAGCATGACTACAGGGAAGTAGGAGCCCGGTGCAGTGTTGTGGGTTAATGTGTCAGATTGCAAAGTTGTGGTTTGCAAGGTTGGTGGTTCAAGCTCACCAGCTGCTTCTTGGAAACCCTATACAGGGTTGTTATGGGTCAGAATTGACTTGATGACAACAACAGCAACAACAAAACGCTGGGACCTATTAAACCAGCTGGAGCTTCTGGGTGGCACAAATGTTTAAGTGCTTGACTGTTAACTGAAAGGCTATAAGTTAAAATCCACCAGGGGCACTTCGAAATAAAGGCCTGGCTAAAATCTTCTGAAACATCAACCACTGAAATCCCTTTAGAGCACAGTTCTACTGTGACACACACTGGGTTGCCATGAGTCAGAATAGACTTGACAGCAACTGGTAATATACCAGCTGCCTAAAAGTCATACAGTAATAGTTTTTTTTGAATTCAAACAAGGGTAAACTCACTATGGTCTCACTTTATCTGTGAAGGCATTGTGAGTAGGGCATAAACTGGTAGGACATGAATTATCCAACATTTTTGGAAAGGAAGAAAGAAAAAGCTCTTTCTTGCTTATATAACTGTTTTTGCTTCCATGTTTTTATGCCAGCCTATATATTTATTTTGGCCTGTGTCCTTGGTACTTTGACCCTGAAGATTCTCCAGAGAATCCCTTGACTCTGAAGATTCTCCAGAGTTGAACCCCTGTAAGATTTGGGAGCTCCAGCCCAGAAATTGAGGCAGCCTGTGGTGGACATTACCTGACAGCATTGGGTGTAAAGAAACAGTACTTGGGATACAATGTCTTGATCTACCCTTGTGAGAAGTTGCTTTTTGGGAGCGTGGAGAGCCACGGCTCCATAGATGACCATGACATCAGTCTTCGAAAGGTTCTTTTTTCCAGAGAAAAGACCCTGAAAACCAGGAAGGGGAGACATGTAAAATGTAACTGAAGTAGTTTCCTTTTCTTTTAGGTGCCTGTCTTCTAGGGAAGCAGAGTCTGACCAAACGCCTTGAGGAACTAATAGGGGGACCAACCTAGGCACACCCAGAACTCATAGGACCTTCTAGACCATCATTAAATACTACTACTACTAATAAAACCACAAAGTAAAACCAGCTACTGTAGAGTTGATTCCAATTCAAGGTGACCCCATGCATGTGTGCCAGAGTACAACTGTGCTCCATTAGAATTTTCAGTGGCTGATTTTTCAGAAGTAGAGCAATAGGGCTCTACTGAGGAGCCTTTGGGTGGACCTGAACCTCCTACTTTTCAATTATCCACTGAGCACATAGATATTTTCCACTACCCAGGGACTCTAGTAGTGACAAGAAAATAGAGGAGAGTTTTTACATAGCTGGTAAAAATATAGAGGGCTTGGGAAGTTCTTACCTGGAATAAGGCTCTAGAGTAAATATAATATGGAGAAGAGATATCCACTGATGGCATTAGTATTGTTTGTCCTTACCTTACATCGATTCACAAAAAACTTTTCTCGATCTTGGAATGCTTTAAGGACTTTTAAAACAATATCCAACTGGTTCTCTGCACAGTATCCTAAAATAGATGTTATTCCCTAAAATCAGAAAAGGAATGGGATTTTGAGTTTAACCGTTCGGTTATTTAACAGATATGTATTGAGTACCAAAGATGTGTCAGACATTATCCTGGGTGCTGGGAATATACTAGTGAACAGAACATAAAATAATACTGCCCTCGAGGTTACAGTGAAGTATCACTCAGTAAACATGCAAATAAATAGTATATCTGGTGGAGATTAAGAAAATTCAGAAAAAAAAATGAGGAAAGACGAACAGCTGATGAAGACAGGCAAGTGTTTGAAACTTAAATAGAGTGGTCAGAGAAGACTTTATTAGCAGGGTGACATTGAGCAAAAAACTGAAATAAGCCAGGGAATGAGCCATTGGACAATCTAGGAAGGACCATTCTAAACAGAGAGAAAGTAAGTGCAGTAAAATGACCCACAGGGGAGGGTTGAGGGTTGAGGATTGGAGGGAAAGATCAAGGATAGCAGAACAAGATGAATTCAGAAGGGGCTGGGTCTAGTAGGGCCTTTTGGACAAACTAAGAATTTGATGTTTTAATCTTAGATTGGTGGAAAGTCAATGGAGGTTTTTTGAACTTGACATGACAAACATCTTTAAAGGGTCATTCTACTGTTTAAAGTTTATTATACTGTAAGTGATTAAAATTTTTCAAAGGTAGAAGCTATTGTTCCACACATTGTTTTGAAAGATAGCAGACTATTGTTCCTCATAGTCTTCCCTTTCTATCTCTTTTGCTCCATACAACAGGACCAATAAATAGTATGAGAAATAGAAAACTAATTGAAGTTCTCAAAGACTTCATTTTGCTTGGATCAACACTTAATGCTCATGAAAGAAGCAGTCAAAAAATTAAACTACATATGACATTAACAAATTTGTTGAAAAAGACCTCTTTGAAGTGTTAAAGATCAAAGATGTCAGTCTAAGGACTAAGGTGTGCCTGAACCAAGCCCTGGTGTTTTTAATCACCTCATATGCATGTGATAATTGGACAGCAAATAACAAAGCCCATCAATGAATCAATGAATTTGAATTATGCTATTGGTGAAGAATAAGGAAAGTGCCATGGAATATCAGAAGAACAAATTCTTCTTAGAAAAAGTACATCCAGAATGCTTCTTAGAGCGACAATGGCAAGACTCTATTTCTCATATTTTGAACTTGTTGTCAGTAAAGATGAGTACCTGGAGAATAACATCATGTTTGGTAATGTGGAGGGTCAGTGAAAAAGAGGAAGACCCCCACATGATGGATTGACACAGTGGAAGCAACAATGGGCTCAAACATAAAATAATTGTGAGGACTGTACAAAACTGGGCAATGTTTCATTCTGTTGTACATGGGGTTTCTGAGAGTCAGAACTGACTCAGTGGCACCTAACAACAACAACAACAACATCTCTCTTGCCTTATGCTGATTTCCATATAGCACCATCATGGTATTTTGTTTGTGAATTCTATTACAGTTCATTTGGTGCTTAAACCTCTGTCAGTGCCACCATGACAACAAAGAGTCCAGAACAATATCACCAGGTCATCCACACTCCATCACTGGAAGATACTTGGAATAAGTCTTTATACTTATAACCTGATAGCTCTTTTCCTTTTCTGCAGGGTTTTGAGACCAAGCCAATTTTACATAAATACTTCTGTGTCTTTCATTCTCTTCAAGTCTTGGGTTGCAATATGGGCGGATCCTATAGAGTTCTGGTGTGCCACTGTAGTGTACAGGGTTGCAAACGACAAGGTGAACAGTTCAAATCCACCAGCTGTTCCTCACAGGGTAACTATGAATCGAAATCAACTTGATGGCACTTAAACAACAACAATGGACAAAATACTGAATGATGTAGGAAGCATTAAAAGAAGATGGAAGAACTATACAGTTTCACTTAACCAAAAATAATTGGGCCATGTTCATTTATCTTGAATGTTGTTGTTAGGAGCCATTCAGTCAGTACTGACTCATAATGACCTTATGCACAGCAAAAAGAAACACTGCCCAATCCTGGGCCAACCTCACTATTGTTGCCATGCTTGAGCCCACTGATGCTG